CCCGCCGGCAGAGGCCGGGGGTGTGTTCGTGGTGGTGAAGTCGTGCCTCCTTTATGCCAGGCCCTGGCCTCAGTCTCCAGGAGCAGAGATGAAGACAGTCTCTTTCCAGCAGCTGTGACTCACCTACTTAAAAAAACTAAAAAGTTGGCAAACTGTGGCCCCTGCCTGTTTTTGTCAGTAAAGTTTTTTGGTTTTTTGGTCCTGGGGATGGAACTCGGGGCCCTGGACCACCGAGCCCCACCCCAGCCCTATTTTGTATTTTATTTAGAGACGGGTCTCACGGAGCTGCTCAGGGCCTCGCCATTGTGGAGGCTGGCTTTGAACTCACCATCCTCCTGCCTCAGCCTCCCAAGCCACTGGGATGACGGGTGTGCGCCACCGCGCCAGGCAGCCAATAAAGTTTGGTCGGCACTCAGCCACACCCTTCCTTCCCACGGGCCCATCCGGGTCTCCACACTAGGATCTACGGTGTGGCCCTCTAAAACACCTGCCGGCCCTGGTCTAGACACCCAGCAGGACAGCGGCGTGTCCTCAGCCGATTCCCACGGTGTAGGTCGCCCTCCTCGGCCCAGTGCAGCCTGCTAACTGGGTATCAGGGACCACCGCTGGAGGTGACGCCCATCACTGCCACCGAACCCCGAGAACCGCCCGAGCAGGGAGCAGCCACGTGCTGCGAGGCAGTGGGAAGTCCCTGCCTGAACACTCACCCCTTTTGCTCTTTCGTGTCACAGCACACTGAACAGGGTCCCCGCACTCAGAACTCCCGCACCCAGAGCTCCGATTCCGTGGGACTCACACGCCGGCCGAGCTGTGCCACCATCACTTCTACCTCGTTCCAGAACGTTCCATCGTCCCCAAAGGAGCCTGCCCCAGGAGCAGCCCCTGCCCCCAGCCCTGCACCCAGGGGTCCCCGTGCCAGCTGTGCGCTCTTCTTTCACGGCCGTCTCCCTCACTGGGTGACACCTTGTGCGTCTGGCCCTCGCTGGTCCTCAGGGCCACCCGCGTCCCTCTGGGTCACCTCGCTCCTCTCTGTGGCTGAATAATGTTCCCTGCCTTTACCCTCTTTCCTGGGGGCTGGCGGGCTCTGCGCTCCTGGGCCGCACACAGCCCCCCTTTATTTTAACAGGATTCATGTCCCGGGCGCAGGTTCCGCGTGTTTAACGACGAGATGGCAGAGTGCCTGCCAACCCAGCAGCGCCCCGTCCGCTGGCTGCCGCGGGCCACCACCCCGGGGCACCCGGTCCCATGAATTCTTCATGTCCCACACAAAGGGTGTCAATAATTGATGGCGGCTCGGCGTCCCGGGGTGGCCTCAGCCCACCACGCCCACCCTGCCATCCGCCCCTCAGGCCTTGGGAGCAGGGGCCACCTGCCCTGCAGCAAGTGACAGAGGGGCCTGCCACACCTGGGGGCCACCAGTGGTTCTCAAACTGGGTTCTCCGGGTCCTCAGGAGCCACCCCGAGGCTGGGTGGGGTCCTCCCGCTGGCTGTCCTGGGGGCTGGGACACACCACAGCCCACCGCCAACCTGCCGGGGACAGACGGCTGCGGCTCGGCGTGGCAGAAGGTCTTCAACAGCAACAGAAGCCTGAGGGCACCACACAGGACAGCGCCCTCAAAGGTGCCCCAGCTGGCACCCCCTCCCCCTCCACGCCTCCATCCTGGCCCCTCCGCTCTGGCCCGACTCCTCCCACGCCAGCCAGAGGGCGCCCTTGAGCCCCCGGGTCAGGCCCCTGCCTCCTCTGCCCACAGCCCTCCACCTCCCATCTCCCTGGGGCTCAAAGTCAGGTGGCCCCTGGGCCGCAAGGCCCTGCTCGACCCCCCCAGTCCCCTCTACCTGGCACTCCTCTGCCGCAGCCACTCAGCTTCTTGCTGCGCCTCCAACAGGCCAGGCTTGTCCCGCCCCAGGGCCTTTGCACAGGCTGTACCTCTGCCTGGAGTGCTTCCCCACAGGTCTCCATGTGGCGGTTCTTTGATGTCACTGAGGCCTGGGCTCATGTGTCACCTTCTCAGGAAGCCCTCCCAGATTCCCATTCAGACAAACGTCCCCATTTGTCTGGCCCGTTCCTCATCATGCAGCTCCAACAAATCACAGTGATTTTTCTGGAAGAGCCACAACCACTTCCCCACCCCAAGTGGAGCCAAGTGTGGGCAGGCACCACGTCCCCTTCTGTCAGCTGGGTCCCTGGTCCCTGCACCAGGTTGACTTGTCAGAGGTGCCCAGGACCCATTTGTTGCATAAATAAGCAGAAGGACACAATGTCACAGATGTCATCCAAGGGCCCCATTGGCCAGCCAGGGAGACTGAGGGCCAAGACAGACAAAGGGAGGCACCGATGAGTAGCGGTGGCCTGGCAAGCTCTGCTGGCCCACCCTGGCCCTTGGGAGTGAGAGCTCGGGGGCAGGTTCCCTCAAGGGGCCCTTGGTGGGGACTCACAGGACTCCCCCCTCCCAGCCCTCATCATCTCAGGCCTCTCCAGAAGGACAAGGAGACCCTGGGGAGCTGAGGCTCACACCCTCGCCAGAGGCACCTGAGCTAGACTCCCCTGGTGGGGTTCCAGGGAGGGTGTCCAGTGCGCGCTGACCCTGTGCGGGGCAGTGGGCACGCTGGTGACTGCACCAAGACCCGGCTCCTGGTCTCCCCCAGCACCTGGCTGCACCCCACAGCACGAGCCGTTCTGGAGCACCAGACTCTGGGTGGGTCGCTCCAGGACACCTGGAGTTCTGACCTCAGGGTACACTCTCCCGGCCCTGGACCCCCTCACTGAACCAGGCAGCAGGCCACAGCAGCCCCACTGGGCGGGAGCCCTGGTCTGCTCAGGCCTCGGCGGAGAAACCAGGCCCAGGACACCCGTCCCACCCAGGGCCGCCTGGCTAGTCCCTTCGCTTAGGGGCACTGCCTCTTGTCCGGTCAGTGCGTGGTCCAGCACTCACCAGCCACTGGCCGCGCGGCCTTCAGCCAAGCCCAGGTGTCCCGGGGCTGGGCGCAGCTCCTCGTTCCTGGGTTCGCCTCCTCCACCCTCCCAGCCGCCCGCCGCTGGGCAGGTTCTGGCCCAGCCCATTTTACTCAACTTGTTAGGTTTGAAAGTTGGCGCCTGTGCACCTGCCGCATGACGGCAGGCGCAGCATGGGCCATGGCCCTGAGGCTAGGCAGGTCTGCGAGGCTGGCCCCAGGCGTGGCCACGGGAGGGACGGGTTCCTGCGCTGAATCCTCCCGAAGCCCTGACACTGTACAGAGTGACCTGGAGAATGAGCTACCTGTTCAAGTGCCACCGCGGCCGGCAGAGTCGGGTCTACCTGAGCTCCCCAACCACTGGGCTGTCCGGCTCAGACCCTCCGGCCACCAGCTGAGCTCCAGAAGTGACCACAGAGGCCTGTTTAAGGCTGGGGCTGCTCCCCCAGAGAAGATGCTGAGGAAAAGAGAATCAGGTGGACAGCAGACTCCACCCCTGTCTCCGGTCTTCTCCTGGCCATTTGCTGGCTCCCTTCCAGGCCTCAGTTTACCCTCCTGGGAAATAGGCCCAGTGAACCACCACAGAAGAGGCCAGGAGGCCAGAGACGCAGGTCAGGATCCCTGCTAATTACCTGGCGGGGGGCAGCCCCAGCTCACTGCTAGGGACACTGAGTCCAAGGCCACTGGCGAGCTTGCAGGGCCTGGCCCTGGCTGTCCTGGGTTCCTGGACCAGCCAGAACCCGACTCATTCCCACCTGCACACCTCTGGCGGCGCTGCCCACCACCCGGAAGGCCCTCCAGATCCGGAATCTGTCCAAGCACCTGCTGCCCTGCACTGTTAAAGGGGCAGAGTCCATCAAAGTCCCCAGGGGGTTGGGCACTGGTCCCAGAGCGGGTCCCCACGCCTGAGGCGAGGGCAGCTCAGATCCAATCTGTCTTCCCCTAACTCATAAGGCCCAAGAGTGCCCGAGACGGGGGAAACTGAGGTAGGAATGCAGACAGGCAGATGTAGGGTGCAGGGACATGAGGGGGGGGCAGGGACATGAGGGAGCGGGGGTGGGGGGAACAGAGGGCAGCCAGCCAGGGGCCACCTGGCACTGCTTGCTCACCTGCTCTCCGGGTCGCTACAGTGCGACCATGATCCGTCCACCGCCTCCGTAGGGCCGGACCTCTTTCCGCGGCTGCGGGACCTTCCCCTGAGGTTGGGGGACTGGGCGGGGCGGGCCGCTTGACCACGCCCATGGCCACGCCCCCACTAAACTCCGCCCCCGTTCCTCTTCCTCCCGCGCGGAAGAGAACTGGGCGGGAGTTTGGTCCTGGCTCAACCAATGGAAGCGCGGGCGACGTACAAAGGGACCAATGAAAG